GGGGCAAGTCCACCCAAGCCTCTCCTGGCCCCGAAGCCCCTGAACGTGGCTCAGGACTCTCTCCCCAGGGAAGGTGAGGACGATAAGTCCTACAACACTGATGACTCTGGCAATGCCAGGCTTTCAGATGCCAGCAGGGATCCCTTTGAGAGCAGCAAGCCCCGGAGACGAACATTTAGCGAGCCCAGCGCTCCCATGACGGAGGCTGTGGAGGGCAGGCGGGAAGACGCTTGCTCAGATACGGAAGAGGAGGTTAAGGCAGAGGTTTCCACCTCCTCCTCCCAGAACAGCTCCAGCGAGTGCATCCCCTTTGCAGAAGAAGGCAACTTAACCATCAAACAGCGCCCCAAGCCCTCCGGGCATCTCAAGACCGACCCAGCTGTGCCAGACACAGAGCCCAGCTCCCAGGCCATGGAGCCCTCCTGCTCCACTGGGAAGGAGCCAGGGGTGCCCGTTGCCAGCAAAGAGCCACCCATGCTGGAATTCAACCTCACCGAATCGGACACGGTTAAGCGCAGGCCCCGCTTTAAGGAGCGGGAGCCGCTGCAGACAGTGCTGAAGGCGTTCAGCCTGGCGGGGCAGGCCGAGGCGGGGGCGAACTCGGCGCCGCAGTACGCGCAAGCCCAGAGCCTCGCGGGCCCGGCCACACACAGGCCAGAGCCGCAGGCCAGGCTGGCTGGAGATGCCTTTGATGACGACAACGTGGAGTTCAGGATTGCTGAGATAGAGAAGAGCATCTTGTCCCTGGAGAAGGGCATCAAGAAGGCACCGAGTCCTGTGAAACCCCCCAGCCCCTCGGAGCTGCTCGGCACCACTGTGCTGAGGACGCCAACTCCAGGTAGGTGTGTTTGTGTGGAGGGAGAGCCTTGGCCTGTGGGGTGTCTCCGAAGTGGTGAGGGGCGTGCAGCTCCCTTCCGCTGGGTCGGGCACCACATCCCCAGCAAGCTGGGGAGGTGAGAAGGGAGCCCGTGCTGCTGAGTGCAACGAGGCTCTTTCCTTTACAGATGTCCCAGCCAAACACACCTCCGTGGCATCTACCAAGCTGGTATTCTCCGGGCCCAAGACCATCTACCAGCAGGTCCTGCAGCCCTCTCGCCACACCGTCGCTCCCTGGGCAGCTGCCGAGACGGTGCCGGATGTGATCGGACCCCTGGCTGGTTCTGGCTCTCTGAACCTGGAGCCTGGCAGCAAGGTGTTGGTGAAGCCTTTGGGGGCGGCGCCAGGAGCCGCTTTGGCCCAGCAGAGGCTGGAACAGACCAACTCCACCCTGGCTGCTGCACTGCAGGCCGCTGAAAAGAAGATAACGACAGAGGAGGCAGAGAGGTGAGGCAGCACTGGGGTGGGATGGGAGGGAGAGGAAAATGCTGAGGTTAGGCCCGCGTGCGCAGCGGAATTGGGCAGCCCCAGTGCAGGGAGGGAAGGGCTCAGGAGCCTCCAGCACTGGTTGTGTGGCATTTTGCTCCCAGCTGTCCCCGACGGCTGTGCACATGCAGCAGCCGCCTGGGTATGGGAGCCACACGCATGAGCGCTGCACCAGGCCATAGGTGCTTGAGTCCCGGGTGCAGGATGAGCTCTGGCTGCGAGCAGGAAGGTTGGGTCCAGCCTGGCTCTCCCTGCCCCACCAGGGCCCCAAGCCTTTGGGCAGCCTTTGACTGTCTCTCCCTTTCCCTCCCAGCCACCCTGGGACCGTGCACTCAGCCAAGAACATCCTGGAAGACATCAGCAACATGTTTGACGACCTGGCCGACCAGCTGGATGCAATGCTGGACTGAGGCTTGCTCCCTTCTTCCCCTCCCCACCTCCGGCTGCTCCGCAAACGCCCGTTGTGATGGGGGAAGAGTGGATCTAGGACCCGAGTGGTGTCTCCAGGTCTCTCCAGCTGCCTCCCTTCCTGCACTTTACACCACGGCTAGAAACACATCTGTCCCTTCCTCAGCCGCCCAGCGTCACTGGCCCAAGAGCTGCCTGGCTCTGTATCACACGCTCCAACACGACCGCGGGCTGGTTTCCGAGAGGGTCAGGCATTTCCCACCAGACTGGCAGCAGGAGGAGAGCCCAGAGGGCCTGCACATGTGGTCCAGGAGGCCACAGAGAAAACCTCACTCCCTTGCACAGAGCTGAAGAGCCTCCACAAGGGACCTTTCTCTTCCCTCGCTGCGTTGCTGAAGTCCTGCCTCTTATTATTTATCCCCTGCCAACAATGTGTCAAAGGAGAGACCTCCCCGGGCAGCCGCCACGGAGCTGGCTATTTACTGAGCAGATCTCAGCCCCAGCAGAGCCTGACAGCAGCTAAAAGAAGACAGGGCTTGTCGCGACTTGGCAGCTTGCAGAGTGAGAAGGAACCTTCCTGCTTTATTTGATGCTTTTCCGAACATGTCAGCGTCAGGCAGCGTGTAATCTGAGTGGATCGAAATCCCCCCACAGGGCCCAAATCCCCATCCCCAAGACTGGGGCTGGCACAGCCTGCATCCTGTCGAGCAGCAAACGCTCTGCCGCAGGCCCTGCCGGAGGTGGAGGTCTACCTGCACCTTTCCCAGGGCGAGGAGGGTGATTTGCAGCGCTGAAGGCCAAGAAGGGCTGTGCAATTGTGCCAGTCCGGCTGGATCGTGCTGCTAAATCGAGGCTGCCCTCTGCTGACACTGTGCCTACGCAAACCGCCAGCCCCGCTGCTTCTAGGGATGAAGTAGCAAAGTGGTTAGCACTAATTTTATTTTTTTCCTTCTTTTCCTCCTCTGCCCCTTTTTGGGGGAGAAAATGGTCCCTCTTCCCACTAACCCTCAGTGCAGGGAGATCCTGGCACAAACTCAGCTGTGAACTTTGGTAGACAGTAGCAGCATTTGGGACTACACGAGATGCTCCCTTGCAGCTCCAAACCCCAGCGGGAGAGGTGACCCCACATGCACTGGGTGAATTCAGCTCAGCAACAGCTACTGTAAATACACGCCGGATGCAGTCGCAGCCCTGTGGCTGCAGCAGGGGAACAGCAGCGATAGCTCGTTGCGTCCAAGCAGTAGGAACGGCTGCATAGCTTGAAGACAGAGTTCTCTAGCAGGATCTGTTTAGTAGTGCATGTCTAAATATGTCCAAGAGCCCCGAACTTGGCTTGCGCTCGGCATGCCAAGCAAATGAAAGCAGCAGAGCACCAGAAGGGAACCCAAGATTGTACTAAAGTGCCATTTGTTGCAAAAATCCCAAACAAAGGGAAAGGGAAACCTCCACCCCTTTAAAAAAAAAACCCACCAACACAAAACCAAACGGTAAGGGAGAAAGTGGCTGAAGAGGCAGTTGCTTCCCACTTTTGGGGGGGAGTTTGCAACTGAAACAGCAGACTCTTTACAGCACCACGTCCCCCTGCACTGGAAAGGAAGCAGCCCCTCGCATGGGGCGCCCACCTGGACGCTTCCCAGAGGGCCTTGGCTCACCAGCGGCAGTTGTGCCGCGCGCCCAGCCAGCGGGAGATGCCAGTCTGGCTTCTAGGTTAAAAAGTAAAGACAAGCCCTGAAATAAAAAAAAATTGGTTGGTTGGCTGGGCCTTGAGGTCAATTTGAGGTGCTGAAGGCACCTGCACCCTGGCGAGTTAGTTGTTCTGTGTTTTATACATCACATTGTGTGTTAAAATGACCATGTCTGACAGACAAGTGCTACATCGTGGACCTGATTGTTTTTAAATAGCTGCAACCAGTGGCACTTTATCAAAAGGTTTGCAGAAACCTTTTAAAACTAATTTTTACTCTCACACAAATCAAGCACCTGGAACAAGCCCAGGTGGTTTTTTTTTTTTTCCAATGTTGATATACTGTAAATGTTTTTTAAAGGCCAATGTATATATTTTAAATGTGATTTATTATATATATTTACTAACCAGAATTGCAAGTCTTGTACTCTAGGGTCAGGGATAAGAGGACACTGGGGTGGAGCTGAGTCGCTGTCTGAGCCACCTGAGGGCAGCACCACGCTGCTCTCATTGTCAATAAGGGAACTAAACATTTGATTTTGAGAAGAATGCCTATTTTTTGAGCTCTAGATCTTTATTTTAAAGCTACTGTATGGTGTGTAAGTTATGTACACTGCAACTGGGACTAACTGACCCTGGCTGCACCTGCTCCGTGCAGCAAGGCAGTGAGGGAAAAAATAGCCCGTGTAATCACCCGACTGACAACAGATTTTAAACCATCTGCTCTCTTTGTGTTAATCATGTGTTTTTTGTTTTCCACTAACATCCATTAAGACTAAGTTCTATTAAACAGTGGGGCATATTTTACCCTTTTGATAGTTCTGCCTAGTTGTCTCCTTCATTTCAAATCTTACAAGCTTGTCTCCTGCCCTGTCTGAAGTCATCAAGGATCAGCTTTATCCTGCCTGTTGTGTGCTTAAGCTCTGGGTTTCCTCGCGTAAGCCCCCGCCTGGGGGGCGAGTTCTGCTGCTGCCTCTAGTGAGGTTCACGTCTTCATTTGAGTCTTGAGGGCAGTTACGTGTGGTTGGAGCTCTAGGGACCGACACTGCCCTGTGGCCCAGCTTGGGGGCAGCTGTGGAGCCACAGCTACCTCGGCTGGACTTGCAAAGGAGTCCTCCGTCCTCCAGGCTCGCCGGTGATCAGAGTGCAGCCGCAGGGACATCAGGTCCCGCTTGCTGAGCGGCGTGCAGAAGCCCAGGCCTCCTCGTCTCTCCACTGCTATGTTTTTCTCCAGACCGCATGCTGCCTGTTCCAGCTCACCCTCTACCTTTCCTTCAGAGAGCTGCAACCGCTGCAACACCCGTCACAACTGAAGCAGTGTCTGCAGCAACCATGAGAGCAACCACATTACACCAGGTGCCGCGCCTGGGATCCAAGAGACCAAGTGGTAAGTGCACAGTTATTCTATAGAAAGAGGCATGCAGAGATGGACGGAGTTGCCTAAGGCTGGACAGAAAGTGGGAAAAAGTGCCAGGATCAGATCCCAGGAGTGCCAGCCCCTCAGGCCATGTCTCTACAGCAGACATTGGCTCTGCCACTGTTACCTGACACACAAGCAACCACGCGCGTTTCACCTCCGCTTTGCTGGGGGCAGGCTCCCTCCCCCTCTCACTGGCTGGTATCCAAGACGATCGTTCAGTGCTGTTCATACACTGGAGGCCTGGGGGTTGGGGTTGGTTCTTTTTTTTTTTTTTAATAGAATTTACAAGTTTTAATACAAATCAAATATTTTTACATACATCCCAAAAAATTTAATATAAAATATACACCATTTAAAAACATCTTGATGTAGGAAATTTCTTTCTGAAGCCATGCACCCTGGCCCTCAGATGCCTCAATGGGCTGAGGGAAGGGTGGCAATGGCAAGACCATCCAAAAGGCTCCATTCATACGCCTCTGCTCCATCCAAGTCTAGCAGGGGAAGGAGGGTGAGGGAAAATAAACATTTGTGATCACCCAGAGAAGGAAACCTCGGAGAGGCCTGCTCTAGAAGAAGGTGTGGCCAGCAGGAAGCCCTGGTAGCTGCTGCCATTTATCACCTACAACAGTTAGCGGCACAGAGCAAGAGCTAAGATCTGGGGGAGGACGCGGCTCTGCAGGAAGAGCAGCCGAGTGGCTGGGTGCTGCGTCTGACTCCGGGTCAGCCCAGCCCAGCCCAGCCCCGCAGAAGGAGAACGTGTCCTACCTGCCAGCCGACCCTGGGATCAGAAAGAGAAGCCGATTTATCAGGCACCAGTGGCAACAGATCTGGAGCCGACTTTTAGTGAAGCGAGACTGGGTAAGACGCAGCTTGTTCTCCCTGAGCCAGGCAGCTTTGCAGGCCTGAGAGGAGGGAAGGCAGAGTTCAGCCTCGCTGGTGGGGGTGAGCAGTCCCACTCTGCAGGAAGGACCGGCCTGGTGCCGCTGCGCTGCAGGAGAGCAGCCCTGCCTTGCCCCAGGGAGCTGCTGGCTCCCTCTCCCCTGCAGCCCTGTTGGTAGCGCAGAGTCCAAACAGCTGCACTCCGGCGTCCCAACAGCCACGCTCTGGCTGGAGGGACGCGCTCCAGGCCTCTCGGCACCCCCGCCGGCTCTCGCCGGCATCCTCCGTCTGCCCCCCAGGCTCAGAGGCTGGCCATTCCCCAGCTCTGCGCTCCTACCAGCCCCACAGTGGGGCGAAGGGTATTGCTTAGAGACGTGTGTTTTGCGTGCTCCCTGGTTTTGGGAAACGTGAGGAAGACGAGGTGGAGCATCAGGGCAGGGCTGGGGGGTCCTAGCCAGCTCCCTGCCTTCCAGGGAAGGACCAGCAACCTATTTGTTAGTCTCACTTACTGGAGGGAAACAACAGCCATGTAGTGTAGAGTTAATATTGGAAGCAAAAACAGGGCCAGGATTTGCCCGAGTCACTCAGGTCTCAGAGCTAGGAAGGGAGTAAATAGCTCCATGGGCTGTAAGGATTCTGGAAGCCAAGCCTGTGTGCTCTCTTGTGGCCCCTGACCACCAAACCACGATGGCACTGGCGCACCAAGGATAACTGTGTCTGTTCGCATCTCAAGTGCCTATGTGCTGCACTGGGGTAAAACACGGCTTGCACCCGCCCAGCCCTCAGGGGAAGGTTTCCCCCAGTCAGGTGGAGAAGAGACCTCCAGAGCAACCGGGAACAGCTGTGAGGGCAGCAGCACAGTGTCAAGAGCCCTCCCAACACTAGCATAGAAAGACTTGATTGTGGGAGGGTTTCCCTGTGCCTTGCAGAGCAAGAACTGGGTGCAGCATAGTCCCAGGCCTGGGAAGGGAGCCATCCCCCAGCTCTGTGTTACAACTGCGAGATACAGATATCCTGCCTGGAAAAATGTCTCCTTCCTCCGCGGCAGGATAGGCAGGTCTCAGGCTTTATCCCTAGCTACAGGTATTGCTGTGGCCTTCTCAGGCAGACATTTACTGAAGTACACAAAAATGAGGACAGCTACAAACCTACCTCTTTGGGGGTTGTCAAAGCAGACAAGAGCTGATTCAACAGAGCTGCAGGAAGCAGGGCCATGCCGACTCCCTGCCAGCAGGCAGGGCTGCTCTCCTGCCTCCCTGTGCACCAAATCACCAAGGTAAAACACAGACAGCTGTTCTTCAGGCCCTGCACAACTATGGCTCTAGGGCTAGAGCAACAACCCTAGAGAGCAGGCCTGGCACAGCCTGGCCACCGCAGGGGCTTTCCCAGCATGTTACCAGAGACCCTCCCCAGTGTCCAGCTGGGAAAGCGAGCTCCAGTCCTTGCCTAGCGCACCAGTGCTCCTGGGGCAGCCAGGGGGGTGGCTCCATCCCCCAGGACACAGGGAGAGGGAGGTGACTGAGGGCATGCACAGGCATGTGCACACACACCACACACACACACACACCATCCAGGGGAGCGCACAAGGAAGGGGGGGGGAGGGAAAAAAAAAAAAAAAGGGTTTCAACAGTGATTTCTTGCCTCAGCAGCCCTCTGTCTCCCCTGCTGGCCCAGATTCTCCTGCCAGGTCCAGGAAAACCCATCTGCTCACATAGAGGGAAGGAGTCGCTTCATTTCAGCATCACCACGATACTAACAAAAAACCTCTAGTAATAAATAAATAAAGGAAGAGCAGCCTGAATGGTCAGCAGAGCTTGCAGACTCCCTCAAGCACTCTAGCAGGCTGGGGAGGGGAGCTGCATACCTGCTGGGGGATCCTGATAGCAGGGCCCTGCTTGGGCCCCCCCGGAAGGTGCTGATGTGGTTTTGCAAGGAGGCCGTCTGGTTTGCATGTGCAAGGGGAAACTCCGTGAGCCTCTGGTGCAGCTGCTCTCCCACGCTGCTGTGTGGCCCTGGCCCCAGGGAACCCGAGCTGGCAGGGTTTAAAACGGAGAATTCATCCCCAGCTTTGTTTCGAACTGCAGCTTCTGCCTCTTTTGGTAACGGACTCGGACCCTGGAGGAGGCAGAAGAAAGAAAAGAATCAGCACACGTGGGAAAGAAAGGCAGGCAAGGCTGCCCCGCTGCGGCTCCTGAGAAGAGGGGCAGCCTTGGCTCTGGGCCTGGGCCCTACAGTGCCAGGGCAGAGGAACTGACCCACAGCCTCAGTCCTGCCCCATCCAGCCAAGTCCCTTCTCTGAGTCCACCAGGCACAGCAGAGAAAGGTCCAAAAACTCCTCCCAGGAAGAGAGACAGGGTCTCTGTCCTCATCAAGGTCCCCTCTAAGCCCCACTGCTTTTCCTCACCAAACCCCCTTCCTAGATCACCCGCTCATTAGTGTTAACTCCCAGCTCTGGCTGCGCCCTGCGCGAGGAGGAACAGCCAGTCACTTTGCCTGCTGCTAATTCTTGGCTTCAGCCACTTCCCGTGAAAATGAGTCCTACAGTCCAGGCACTGTGTGAGGACATATTTCCTCAGCCGCTATTCAATGCCTCTCTGTCCTCATGGGACGAGACGGAGAGAACAGCCCTCTCTGACCCATGCTGGTATTTCATAGACTTTGGCTCTCTTCCTCTCATTGGTGGGAGATAAGGGGATTTTGGTCTCCCTTCCTGCTCCCAATCACTGCTACTGCCCTTCCCTGACCCTCTTTCCTCCTCTGCATTGTTGAGTCCCTGAGAGGTGGAACATGAGCCTGCGCAAAATAGCCAGGTGATTTACACACCACCATCATCTTTTCCTTTTTATTCCCCACCCTGTGCATCTTTTCTCTGCAGCCCAAGGCCAGGCTGGAGCGAGGTTACAGCCCTTTCTCCCCATCTCCCCCATAGCCCCCTACCTGATTTCGTGCAGCTTGACAATCTCATTGATGATAACCACAAGGACCAGGGAAAGAAAACCCAGGAGCCATGAGACCGGGGAGATGGGAACGTAGTTAAAGGTCAACGGAGAACTGAGGTTTTCCCAGAGTTTCAGGTCCAGCACAGTTTGTGCCACTTGCCCCAGCAATCTAGGGTCATAAACAGACACAGCAAAGCTCAGCAGCGCTAACAGGCTTCCTGGGATCTGCAGATCGGGATTTAGGCCCAGGTGTACCACCCCTGAGTTCGCAATGGGGGCACCAGTTTACCAGTGGGAAACCTTTGCATATACCAGCATTTTCCTCAGAGCTAGCAAACTGGTGCTGGAGCAGGTCTAGAGCAGGCAGAGCCTGGCTTCCCCCAGCACTCTGCGGTGCCTCTTCAGGACCTGGGGATACTCACACAACAGCCACGGTGAGTGTCCACCACCGGTTAGAGAGGGGACTCTTCTTCCACAGCGGCTTGGTGCGATGGACATGGGTTATAGATATGAACACTACAGGGGACAGATGGAGCAGGAAGTTATTTAGCACAACACACAGATAATTGCTTTACAATATACACCAAGGGCTATTGCTCTAAAGGGATGTGAGGCTGTCGTCCCTCAACCCAACCTTTCTTTCCTTCCAGACCAGACTCCCCATAGCACTGCCTAATAAGTCCCTGGATATGCAGAGGGGGCCGCCGTGGCAGTTCTGTGCAGGATTACTCAGTGCAGGGATGCCAAGGGCGTCTCTTAGCCTGACGCTCTAATGTGAATCAGGCAAAGGACCAGAACTAGGAAGCAGTGGGGGGGGGGCCCTCATCACTGGGTCACTGCAGGCCTGCATCAACATAAAGCTTGAGCCCTGGGAAAGACATTTAATTAGACCTAGAGTTGTCTACAGAAGGCAACACATTCACTTAGCTTTTGCTGGACACATTAAAACAGCATTTGCCACCTGCAGGGCAAAGCATCCCTGCCTGGCCTCTAATGTCTCAAGGACAAGTAGTATTTCCCAGTCCTGCCAGTAGCGCACCACTACCTCCAGCTAAAGCAAAGCTGCCTCTCAGATCAGGAGGTGGTTCTGTTGGCCCAGACACCCTGCACATCAAAACATGCAGTACACCACCTGGCACCAAGGCACAGGAGGAAGGGGAGTAGAGGCTCTTTAAGGCCATAGGAAGGCAGCTGGCCCTGCTTTGCCAGGCAACCACTCACAGGTGCTTCGAGTTAGCCAGGGCCTGGCTCCCCCCCACACACACCCCTCCTGAGGATTTAAAAAGGCTTCCAGGCCCAAGGCACAGCCAAAACAGAGCTGTTTGGGGGAAGGAAAGTGGGTGCTTCACAAAATAGCAGCAGGACTAGAGGGAGCCCTAAGGTAGGGAATGTTTTGGAGATTTGCAGGACACTGCTAGCTGATTTGCAAGGGGGCAGAGAGGGATTGTTCATAGGGTGGCGTTTGCCTGCTCATTGGACTAGGCTGGAAGGGAGCCAGTGTTTTGCCAGGCTGGTAGGTGGCAGGACCGGATCTGAGGGTGCTACCTGTAATCTGTTAGGACAACATATAGCAAAACAAGGGACAGTCTTGTGCTTGTGCCAAGAGCCTGCCATAGCCCTTACTCCTAAAAGAGAGTTTGTGCTCTGGCATAAGGAGCACAGAGAGAGGCAAAGGCTGATAGTCCTTACCCAGAGCAGGAGGGACCCCCCCCTGGAAACAGGGACTCACCTGTGTGTAAAACAATCAAGCCAGCTGCGAGCTTCTGGGCTACAAGAAGGGCATTGGAAAATGTCCCAAACCAGTCAGGAGCACCACCGGCGTTGCTAGGAAGTGAGAGGACACGGGAAAGAACTCAATAGTGGGGACTCGCTGGCTGACCTGTTCCCGCCAGGGCCATGTCCTCCTCTGATAACTGAGAGGACTAGATGCAAGCTCAGAGGTAGCCACTTGTGAGAAAAACAAAGGCTGTCCTAGTTCCAGGAGGTGATAGGGAGCAAGGCAGGACCTTGCCCCAAGGATGCATTTCTCAAGGCTCCAAGGAGAGCTCCCAGCCCTGTTTAGAGATGATATAGCTGGGTCACACAAGAGCCTGAAGCTCAGTAGCAGGAGATCAATTCCACCTAAGAAGGGCAAAAGGAGCAGGCACTGCAGGGAAAGGGCTGGGCTCTGTTCCTCACCTGTGCAGCATGATGGAGGAGCAGGCTGTGAGATTGAGGCTGGTGGTGTTCACCTCTTTGCAGGATTCATGCAGTGTGAACCCAAAGCAGATGAGGCAGGAGCAGATGGTCAGGCTGAATTTCAGCAGGGAGCCGAACAGGAAGTAGTGCTGAGTCTGTGAATAATGGAGAGGGAGGAGGGACATGAGCATGTCACTGGCTCACCACCCCCAGCACAAAGCATCAGGTATCACTGGCTGCAACAAAGACTGGCTGCAGTACAGATGAGATGCTGCCGCTTGAGGATCTGTCCTGTGGGCATGTTCACAGTAAGGGCTTCCTGTCCGGTCCACACCACGCTTTTGGCTAGGATGGCTCACACCACAAATGAGAACTTACCAAGGGATCTGGGAAGGTCTATGCTAGCGCAGGACCTCAGCTATGCACCAACGTGGGGACAAAGTAGTAGAGCGGGAAGTGAGAACAAGTCTTATCTGATGAGCCACTCACCTTCTTAGGAATGGAAGTCAGGTTTTTTCCTGTTGCCATGGTCATGATGGAGCTGTGGGGGGGCTTGCCCAGGAGCGAGATGCTGCAGAAAAGCAAGTCAGTCTCTCAATAACAAGTCCAGGCACTAGAATTTTTGCTTTTTGGGATGTCTCTAGCGCTTGAGCCCAAGGAACCTCCTCAGACTGCTCGGAGCATTGGCACAGATCTGGCCACTTGTTGTGCAGCATATTTGCATTCCCTCCCTCCAACATATGCTGTAGAAGATCTTATGTATGGGAAGTGCAGGCAGGGAGAGAGAGATGACCTCTAAGTGTGTGATGGGGGAAAATCCACCTACAGTATCTTGGGCTCTGCCTGACACCCAGTGCTCTCCATCACACCCCAACCAGTGCAACAGTGTCAGAATTAGAAGATTATTCTCAGCTGGGGGTTCAAACCACATGATGATAGAGGCTCTCTGACAGCAGGCAGGGCTAAACAGCAGTACACAAATGCTGTCTGTTTCCAAGCACCTTGTCAGAGCAGGTACTTGCAATAATCCTTCCAGCCTCCCTGGCATGCTGTGGGTCATGTCAACTTCCTTTTAGCACAGATACAGTGAGCATGGGAGACTGGCTCATGCATCCTGTGGGTGGGAGGCTTAAGGCAGGAGATTCCACCCTGTCCAACAGACTCACCTGAGCAGTGGGTAGCAGAAACAGGAGAGCCACACGATGTCTGTGGTACTGAGGATGGGGGGCAGCTGCACCAGGCAGGAGAGGAACTGGACAGGAACAATCCAGAGTGAAGAGTGTGAGCAGAGCTGGGATAGCCCTGTTACCCTAGACACCACCATCCTCCCCCAAATGCAGGGATGAGCTGGTAACTAGGGTGCCACTGCACAGCCCCTCCACACAGAGCAGGTCCTGCAGAGGATGCTTTTCTCCAGGGAAAAAGTGGTCAGAAAGAACCTGAAGCTGCAATCACACAGTCTCTATCTGTAACTTCCCCAAGCAGTGCTAATTAACACAATCATGTTTTATCAGTGTAAATGAGATCAGCCTCGCCACTGGCAGAGGGACATGCTGTGTAAACCTGACGGAAGGCTACCTCCCTCCCTTGCAGCCCACACTCCTTCGCAAGCCCTCCTTGCCCCATTGCAGCCACCCACATTCTCACTAGTGTCCCTGTCCTCTAAGCGAAATGCTGTTCCCAGCCAGACTAGGGCTCACCTGAATGATGACCAGGGTCAGCTGGCACTGTAGCAGAAAGAGGAAACACTTGCGGATACCGTACGTTGCGTGCCTGGCCTGGAAGGAAGCACAAGCCCTCAGAGCCCTCACTGCGATGGCAGCAGTTATCAGCCAAGAGCAATTATGGGCGGTGGGGGACAAAGCATGAGGCCTGCAGGGGAAGTGGGAGGGGAGAGGATTTGGACTCAGTGTAAACAAAAAGGGAAGGTCTCCTGCCTAGCCGTGGCTGAGAAGAAAGAGTCGAGTTTAGCAAAGCAAGTCTGTTTAAACCTCCTGGCTTTTCTGGGGTAATGCTCTTCCCTAGCATTGCAGCGTTTCCTGCCTAGGGATCTCTAGCAGTTTATTCTTCATACAGCTGAATGGTGTTCACGTCCTGTTGTCACATGGCACCATTCCCAGACCACCTGAACACCTTGGACCAGTAGGGCCAGGCAGGAAGAATCTCTCCTTTGTACTTCCCAAATAAATGACAGGAGACGTGAGGAAAGCTAATGCTGGCAGCTTACCTAGGGCAACTCAACAAAAACGTCAACACGGACTCCTGGCTTTGCTCCTCATGATCCACAGGTAGAGGGGGGAAGGCTAGAGACAGAGAACTAGAGAGGGGATATGCCTGGCTCACCTGCTCTATAAGCCTGATGATGCTGGTACTTTCTTCTTGGCGAAAGGACATGGAGCAAGGTAGGCTGTTGAGTTGCCCTGAGAGCTGCAGTGGGGTGAGCTCATCAGAGATGTGAGTCATGGTGGTGCTGGTGGCATAGCCAAAGGTCTCCCAGGAGCAGCGAGATGGGTAAAGAGGGTCCAGTGCTATACTGCATGGACAACACAATGAGCATTAGGCAAAGGTCCCATCCCAGGGAAGAAACCACATTTCATTGCAGTCCAGCCTGGGGAGTCGTGCTGTGCTGCAGACGTGCCACCTCTATCTACCTATCGGCCCTCTCTACCTTGATAGAAAAGTCCTGAGCTGCCATGTGAATTCAGGATCAATTCCCCAGATTTTCCATTTTTCCCAGAGAACTAATGGATGCATTTGGGTGTCCAGCTCAAAATCAACAAATTGCTTGATCCAAAGGGGCATTTCCACTCTTTCACCCAAACCAGAAGTACCTATAATTGCCAGTTGGTGCACAATCCTTTAGCATGCAGAAGCATAAACTTCCTTTCAAGGAAGAGAGCTAGGAGTCATCCTCTGCAAGCTCAAGGCAAAGGCAGCAGGAGGACCCTGGATCCTGCCCCACCTGATGTCACTTTGCAGGAAAAGGCAGCTGTTCCGCAGGTTGGCAGAGCTTCCCAGACAGCAGGTCACCTCCCCATACTCCTGCATGATCTTGATCATCTCACACATGGCTGCAAGGGGACAGAAAGAGAAAAATAGTATGTTATCTCATTGTGCACACAGAGAAGCAGTGTTTTGTGCACCCTTTCCAGCCTGGATAACAAGCAGTCAGATCTTTTAAAATAACCCCAACTGAGATTCCTCAGTCCTGTGCAGTCAGATCCAAAGTCAGATGACATAATTAGTTGGTTAACTAATTGCAGACAAAGTGCCCTGTACACCTGCCTTCTACAGGAGCTGAGCTGTGATCCACAGAACTGTGATCCAGAGGAGACCTTTACCTCTAGCATGTCTCTTTCAGACCAGAGGTCTAGGTATGGCCTGGGTAAACAGCACAGGTGGCTCTAGGAGCAAGTAGTCTTATTAGAAAACAGCAGAAATTAAACTAACTTAAATAATTTGAGCCTTACATAAATTAAAATAAAAAGACAACTTTAAAATCTGCTCAGCAGCACCTCACCACTGTTCCAAGTCCAAAGGAACACAGGGAATCTAACCAACCACTCCAAAAGCAGTGCCTCACTTAGCCTTGCTCAGAGCCAGCCCCCTGTTCCTGCACTCCTAGCACTACCTCTAGGTTTCATCAATCTTTTTATTAACATCCTCCTGAGACCTCTAAATCAAAGCTGCTGTTTGATCCACTTTTACCTTTGTAGCTCTGCACAGTGCTCTGCGTATACATACATTTTCTAGAATGCTCTAGGCAAAAACAAGCCATCCTCTGCAGATTCTTTTGTAAACGTTTCATCTGAATGATGGGTGCAGCCAGGTCTGCAGCACAGCGAGGGTTACATGGAGCAGGGAAGGACCACCTCCACCAGAGACAGAGGAAATCCTATCCAGGCACTGAGCACCTAGGCAGGCTGGGCTGTAACCGGCTCTTGCTGGCACTCCTGTAAGCTGTGCCTAAAAAGTACCTAAAATGCCAAATCGTAATGATGCTTAGCACTTTTACTGTAGACTGCAAAGGTATTAGCCAGCTGAGCACTCAGCCCCTTTCTTAGATAAAATAGTATCTCTCAGAGACAAAGAAATTAGGTCCTTTCTGGTTTCTGCAATCAAAAGCTTTACAAAGCAGCAGAAGGTGCTAACAGCAACTGCCAGAGGAAAATACTTCTGGGAAGTGATTTCTGAGTTATATAAGGCAGCGAGGGCTGTGAGCAGAGATCAAAGTCTCCTAGCACACTGATAAAGCTTATTTAATAAAAGGCAGTAGCATTTTGGATGTTTGCTTTTGTGTCTCTTACGAATGCAAATCGAAAGGGGAGTGGTTCTCAGCCCAGTTCTGTAGCTAGGGAACAGTCGCATGAAAAGGAAGCAAGTTCCCCATAGGTAGCACAGGGGGTCGTTAATACCAAACGCCCCTCTGGATTTCTGGAGCACATCCCTTTCCCCTCATCCATTTCCATACTCTACCCAGATGAGCTAGAGCAAATGGATGGGTGTTCACAGGCAGTAGTAGGACAGACCTAGCCCCTGTGCCACTCACTCTCTGGGGTGCAGTCTGTGAAGAGTGGCACCAGCAAAGGCACATTGTCTATGTTCTGCAGGTGAGGTCTCACTTGGTGGATCCCACGTGGAAGTTTGGCCTAAAAAGGAGAAAAAGGAGACTAAGTAGGGGTGTGTGTGAAGGAGGCAGTTATCAGGGAACTGTCACAATGAGAATTATGATTCCCAGAATGCAGCGTCAAGATCAGATACAAATTAAGGTCCTTGCAGAGAGAGGCTGGCTCACCCAAGCCATCATAAAAAGTCTTCTGCTAAAGTCCTATACTGACATGCCAAGTTGTCTGTGCTCTCCCCCAGGGTCCGTGAAATCAGCATGATCAAACTGCGCTTGGGGATTTCTAACGAACTTTTACATGCGGGGGGGGGGGCATTTA